CGGCATTCATCGAACTACGACTGGACGTATTTTTTGTGGCGAATTATATTTGGCAAATGTATACCAATGCACGGTGACCTGAAAACGCGTTTTTACCAGTCAAAAATCAACTTTTGAAATTATTTTTTTGCTACAAAATAACGATACTTCAAACCTTCAATTTCCAAAATATTATTCATTTTGGATAATTGTGTAATCGAGGGTGACATAAAAAAAATGGCAGTTTGCCCACCGTGGATCAAGATTGTATCGAGAAATACAAGGTATCTTAGGTTAGGTAGTAAATCCAGGCAGGAGATTCTTCTACATGCAGAAACAAATCGAAAATCTAGAATAAAATTTTTGAACTTCCAGAACTTGCTGTAAAAATTTATTGCTACTACAGTAACGAAAAATTCGTAAGAAATCCGCAAAGTGAAGGAACTCCAAATGTAGATTCTTCATGAACTGAAAAAAAAACAGACATTTCATATATCGTCAAACCTCTGTGATATATTCTTGAGATTCTTCAGATTCAAGGAATTCTTTTCGATTTTCCATTATTATATCTCAAAAATGTAGATTCTTCATGAACTGAAAAAAAAACAGACATTTCATATATCGTCAAACCTCTGTGATATATTCTTGAGATTCTTCAGATTCAAGGAATTCTTTTCGATTTTCCATTATCAGATCTCAAAAAATGCAGAATAAAATTTTTGAACTTCCAGAACTTGCTGTAAAAATTTATTGCTACTACAGTAACGAAACATTTCTAAGAAATCCGCAAAGTGAAGGAACTCCAAATGTAGATTCTTCATGAACTGAAAAAAAAACAGACATTTCATATATCGTCAAACCTCTGTGATATATTCTTGAGATTCTTCAGATTCAAGGAATTCTTTTCGATTTTCCATTATTATATCTCATCGTTTCAAACGAACTGAGAAGTCGACACGAGTGATCGAGGATCGAGCCTCCAGAAGCTTCTCCAACACAAGCGGTCGAAAAACAATACGATTCGCCGGCTGGATGTTGTCGCGCCTCGGTGTGAATTGCCCGATAAGCCATGAAATTTTTCGCAGCAATGAATCGCGGGTTTGCGCAAAACCACAATCGTTCGAACACCTGCCTGCACCGACATTGCCGCACACAAACCGAGAGAACCACGCGTCTCTTGCCCCCCGAGTACGTAATCGCCCATGAATGGCGGGCACGTGTCGCGTGCCATGTCCTTGGCGGCGTTCCTTGGCCTCGAGGGAAAAGAAGAAAATATGAAAAGTAATCAGGAGAATTTCATTTCGTCTGTATCCGCGGATCACGTGCCGCGGAATTTACTATCGTTCCACACGTGGCGAGATCGCTGACGGCCGTACGTGACGCTCGAGGGTAAATCGTCGTCGGCACCGCACGAAACCGCACGTGGTGTAGTCTGAACGACAACTGTCGCGCATGTCTGTCGAGTTTGAATGATGACTAGATACTATATGTATATGAAGAGGCGGTTCTGGGAATATCGTGCACATGCCAGAAGTGATTCCATTGGTCTTCGAAAAATGAAAAAGGAGAAACAAATGGGACCGTGGACACGTGTCTATGGATGTTAACGAACCAGGGGAGTTGGGGGGAGGGCGAGGTGAAGCCTAAACCACGAGGCTTCGAATTGCAAAAGAATGAGGCTCGTGTGTGCAGTTATTGGTTAGATTGAACAAGGCAGTTATGTAATGGTAAATAAACAGTCGGATTGAGGGAACGTGAATGGAGGAGGATATACGTGACGCAGGATGAGAGCGAGTAGAATGTGCTCGTGATGCACGGACGGGCCAGGGTTTGGCGAAATGGATGCAGAATTTTTTGGTGGAAACGACAGGAGATGTAGAATAAGGAATTTGGATGCGAATTGGGATACTAGGAATAGTAGTAGGAAACTATATTTAGTTGACAGAAGTCTAAAAGATTTTTTAAACTTGTGTAAAAATCTTTGTTAAAACTTCTTGTAAAAGATGTGAAAATGGATCTGGTTTCCGCGAACTGGACGAAAAATATTTTTTTATGAGAATGAGAAGAGGAGTAGAGTAAGAAATTGAGAACCTAAATTTACTTTCCACTTCTCGTCCCTGCAGTAGATTCAGACATTCATACACAACCCCATTTCACGTCAATGGGAACTGCGTTTTGTGGGATTAATATTCAAAAAAATCTTGACATGATATTTCAATTATACTAATATCTTAGAAACTTATTTGAACCGGTGATTATGAAAGTGGTTAAAGTCGAAAATCTAAAAAAATTGAAAGTATCACTTTCAATTTGATGTTACAACAATTTAGATTACAATGATATGAAAGCATGTTTGCAGAATATTTAATTGATTTAGACAACTTTTGTAATCACCAGCACGTTTAGTCTGACCCTTGACGTCTAAATCTACTTTTACTTCTCGTTTCTGTAGTAGATTAAGACATTCATACACGATCATATTTCAAATCATCAATGAAAACTGCGTTCTTTAGGATTAACATACTAAAATCTTTGAAACGATATTTAAACTATACGAACAACTTTGTACTCTACAATTCCATCGTAAATAAATCGAATATATTTAACAGACCTGTTCTGTACACAAACTACAGAAACGAAAGCTCTAACGAAAGAAGTGCAATCAACGAAGAAACGAAAATTCTAACGAAAGCAACGTAATTAATTAACGAACCTCTGGTAAAATAAATTTCTGACAGACGTGTTCTGTACAGAAACTACAGAAACGAAAGCTCTAACGAAAGAAGCGCAATCAACGAAGAAACGAAAATTCTAACGAAAGCAACGTAATTAATTAACGAACCTCTGGTAAAATAAATTTCTGACAGACTTCATGACACATCTATGCCGACCACGTGGTGATCGATACGCACGCCGACGACCGATTAACCGTCGAAACCAGCGATCGTCGTATCACTGAAACGAATCCTCCTTCGACGCTCGGGTGGAAGTGATCTATGAACCGGGAGACGTGTTCAAGATCGAAGCTGGCTGAACATTCTGCGGCGTGTCGTAAACAGAATTTATCTGGGTCGTTTAACCGAGGACAACGCGAGGGAGGGGCCGTAGGGGAAGAGACTCGATGATAATCGAGTCGTTACCTGCGTTCTAAATCGAGAGAATGGAGACTGTGTATCTAATCAGCCGCGCATAAAATGCGGTAATCGTCGGAAACGTGCACCCGTTGATGAACCTTCGTCGACAGAAGGGAGAGAACACGTAGACGTTGCGAGAAAGAGAAAAATAAAGAGCAATAGAAGCACAGTTCGACGAGTCTTCGTCTTTCGTTGGAACGATAATCGGAACTGGTACGGATCGGCAGAAAAGAAACGAGGGTAGGAGGTCGACCGGACGTCTCCCCCGTGACGGTATCTGCTCAAAAATACGCGGAATTTATCGACTCGAGACCAAATAGTCACTATGATTAATCGACCATTCCGATAACGGTCACCCTTTTTATTGTCGTGCAATCGGTTTTCATCTTTCCGTCAAATTGTTTTGCACACTTGTTATATGGATCGAAACGAAATATCGCTACTTGAATCACGACCACGTTCACCGTGCACGTACCGGACGCGACAATACGGTGACTCTAGAGCAAGGTGGATTCGAGACGCATGAATGAGAACAGGAAGCATGTGATAATAATCTGACGACGATGACGATAGATCGTAACGAAATTCCGATTTGCTATGCGTAGCGGAATCGTTGAAGCACCGTCGCGGTTGCCTTCCACGAATCCGATAGGCAGAAAGAGAGAGAGAGAAAGAGAGGGATAGATAGGCTGTACGGCTGGCTCCGTTCGGTTCTTCTGTACCGAGAAAGTAAGAAAGAGATCGTGTGATCTCGCTTTATGCGAGCCCCTTCTCCCGACTTCCACTGGTGTAGCTACACACGAGTTCGTTTACCACCAGCAGGCCAGCATGACCTCTCCCTCCTTCAACTCTTCTTCTTCTTCTTCCTCCTCCTCCTCCTCCGCCTACTCTTCCAGCATCTTTTACCCCTCTCTCGATCTGTCTTCTTATCGTTCCTCTCCTCTAATCCGTGAAATCTGGAACAAGAACCGCGTGGCGAGGCTGGCCGGTACCAGTGACACCGAGGAACTCGGTACCAACGGAGGTCTCTTCTTCGAGAAACATCCACCGATTTCGGTTCCATTACACGATCATACGAGCGTTACTGCGATCATCCGGATATATATATATATATATATATATATATATACATACGTAGCCTGGAACCTGAACCATCGAGAAATCCATGCGAAGACACCGAACAACCACCGGTTCACCATCCATTAAAGGATATCGCACATCGAACATACACAATATTCACCGTGAGAGGCGATACAGACTGAAAAAGACTGCTCCATACCGACGTGTCAGAAGAGACACATACACAGAGACTGACATTGCTCCGGGACCATCAACCACCCGTGGACCAACGTAGAGTGGGAAAACACGTGGCTGTCAAGCGGCGGAGAATGCCGCAAAACCGACCGTGATCGATTCACGAGAGAGGCTAAAGAATCCTTGGTTTATCGCGTACACCGCGAAACCGTACCGTTAACGGAATAAAACGTTTCCTTACAACAGACGGCGTCACAAATTCAACGTCGCCGTTCGGTTGCGTTCTATCAGAGGTAACGAACGTCATCCATAATGTCGAGAGGCTGCACGACGATGCCGTTAAGACACGGCCGAGCGAAGAGGATGGTTCTGTTGGGCTTGGTCCTACTCGCGCTTCTGGACACTGTGACCGGTATACCGTACAAGAGATCGTTGTTACGGCTGTGCTCGAAGAGTCTCAGCGACGCCCTGTACCTTACGTGCAAAGGACGTGGATACAACGAGCCGTTCTCGTACAGTGGCGAGGACGATCCGCAGGACACGGACGGGCCGGGGCTGGCGGAGGAGTGCTGTTACCGTCAGTGCTCTTATACCCAGCTAGAACAGTACTGCAAGCCGAGCAATTCTAGTCCCGTGGACGCCGTGTGAGTGGATGTTAGTTTCTCCATTTTTTTTACTTCTTACGTTTTATCTATCACCTTTAACACACACACGCACACACACACATACAAGGATCTGGTTATTGAACGCTTACTGCACTTTTTCCTCGGTTATTACGGAACATGCCCTGTATTGGGTCCGTCAATGGAACTACGATTCGATAGTAATTGGTAATAATTAGTGGACAATCTACCATTCTTGATATATTATTCACGGGTGTCGGAGTGAACGTCAGTTTTTTTTTTTTTACTTACTGCACGTTTCTCTCAGTTATTACTTAAATTTCTGATTCGGTTATTACGGTACGTCCTCTGTACTGGGTCAGTAGATATAGATGGATTGGGTCAGACGCCAGGTTTCCCTTCAGAATTTCGCGACCCTTGTTGATCCAATGGGTCTTCGATTCGATAACAATTGGTAACAATCGGTGGACTTTCTACCTTCCTCGATATATTACTCACGGGTGTCGGTGCAGGGAGGTGAAATTGCAAAGGTCAACGGTACCCCGATTATGGTCACTTACCTCTGACTCTGTTAACCTTTCCAATAACACCAGCCTCGAGTCAGGCAATTAATCTCGGGAGTACGTCTGCCCCGTGTCTCTCGTTCCCCTCTAGCCATGCTGTCTTTTGTTTCTTTCATTTTTTTCTTTTATTTCTTGCCACGGATTTAGCTCGTGGCTCGTGAGGATCGTTTAAGAAACGATCCCCCTCCTGCCTCTGATAGGACAGATTTAATCGTTTGATCGTATCGCTCGTTATCTCGCTACGAACTTTTATTATGCAAGCTCTCGTATCCCGATTGTTACGCGGTGTTTTTCCATCGTTCGTTAATGCAATTTTACCAGTCCGTGAAATTAATTCGCGGGAAAGATCGTAGGACGAAGCTCGTTGTCGGAATACGAAAAGATTGCATAAACGGTCGACCAGTGCGAGGTAATGCGGCTGAAGCTTTAGGACGACGTTGGTGGTGGTGCCGATAGAATTTCTTCTGACTTGCTCGACTTCGTTGATACCTGGATCACGGTTCTCGCAGATATTGAAGAGGGATATTGAATGAGTCCAAAAAAGTGACGAGGATTACTGTTCGAAAATTTACGCTGTCAAACACTGTGTCGAGAAACATAGCTCGAGTGTGCATAATCGTAAACTAGCACAGAATGGAAGCACATGTAAAATTATTACGTGTTAGATAGATACAGATTTCTTATTTATTTACAAAAAACTCTTCTCGAAGATATTTCCCATCATTTTATACAAACATACGTAATTTCTCAGACAGTTGACTAATCCCCTAGAATTAATTGTGAGACTCACGAATATAATTTGTACGCCTAATAATTCTCCATACTTCCTGAAAGTTGCTTCTTCGCTCTGTCTACACTACGGAAATTAACACGAAGCTCGACGAACTACAGGTCTCGTTTACCATTTCCCATCCACGTTCACTGGGACCACTCGACAGTCACAGCAAGAAACGTAGCAATCGCGTTCCTAAGATTTTATAGATTCATCTATCACCGGATAAGCGAATATGTCCATCGAAATCTCACGAAAAATCTGAAACGATCACGTGCAAGGAAACCGCGAAAAACCACCTATTTACGCGGGCGATTTCTCGAACCGTGGCCGTGCGAGCTGATCCCTGCAATCAACAACTTGTTATTCTTTCGTTCGCCTCGATATAGAAGGCGGCATCGTCGTGGTGGACTTTTACCTCTTCGATAGTAGGTGGTTTACACCAGAGTGGCGAGTTATTAGCCAGTTAATTGTGGCCGCGAACAGTGAGGCCAGCAACCACGCAGCGAAGAACCAGCGCGATGAAAACCGGAACAACGGCGCTACGAACGGTCCGAGCGCTCGCGGCGGGCACATTATCGGCCGCGTGACGATAATCTTTGTCACTTTTCCTAAAGTTCACGGTTGCGTGCGGTGGCCTCATGCAGGAAGGTTAGTCCGAAGTACTAGGACGATCCCGATCTCCTATCTCTTCTCCGCCTCGTTTTTCCCCCCTTTCTATCCTCCTTTCGTTCCCGTTTCGTCGGTTTCGACGGATTTACGGTTACACGTCGCGAATATATATTTATTTATTTATATATATCAGCACCGTAACCAGACGTCGTTCAGGCGCGTCGCCATTTTGGTCTTTTATTTTTCTTCGTAATTTTCGACTGGTTTCGAGCGTATCGGGCTGGTTAACGGATTGTTTACCGTCGATTATTTTGCACGATAGACACGTGAATCATCCAGGAATATTTGGCCGTTTCACGTGACACGTAAACATCAACAACCACTTGTTAGGTTGATGATGCAAGTTATTGGGGTATAGGGATCGTCGATTCCGGTTCTTCGGAAGATTGATTTATTTGGGTAACAGGTCACTGTCATCTGTAATGTGTATATTAACGGCCAGAAGTGTGGGACCAGGTGTGGTAAAGAAAGACAGGGGAATTTTTTGTAAAAAAAGCGGGGAAATTGTTCTACAAAGAGTTACTAAAGGTACCGTGTTAAAAATGATGGAAAGTGATTTGTATGTTTACTGATTCTGTAACTTTTATTTGTTACTGTTCCCATCGAACGTGAACTCTGTTCCCACACTTTTGGCCGTTAGTGTATGTGTTATGTACGACAGTGATTTGTTACTCAAGGGATCTTTTGAAGAATCGAATCAGAATTGAACATCCCTAGTTTAGGGCTATATAACCGACATTATACATCTTTTCGATGAGTCCACTATTAGCTCGACATTAGGTCTGTGTTTGACGGTTCTTGGTTCGACAACAGTTATATCATAGGGTTCATTGACTCGTCGGGAAAGTCACTCTGGAATACACGTGTCGTAGTTTGAATAGAACGTTTAAAAATTCTGTGGAAATAGAGAACCGTTCGTCAGTGTTTGCAAAATGTACCGACATGATGGTTAAAGTATTTTGGTTGTTAGGTTATTGTTACCTAAAGAAACTCGTTTTTACCCTAGTTAGATCCTTTTCAACGATGAACAAATCGTTTCGGAATAACAGATTGAGTAGTTTAATACTCAGAATAATACTGTTCAACGAAATAATACGTTTCATGTTTCGAAAGTAAAATCGATAGGTATATTATCTTCGAGGGTTGAATTTAATACTTCCAGCCACGATTTAACCACGTGTGCCTCCACGATGATATACGCAATCTGATGCACGTCACTTTAAAATTCCAGTGTGTCTTACGCTATCAAGCTTTTTGTTTATACGAAACATTATATAACCGATCGAAGAATTCCAAGCGAACTATTACAAGATCATTGTCATCCGAATTGTTGATAGCTAACACTAACATTAAGTTGGTAGATAGAAGAAGCTTGTATCGCACAAAACAAACTTGTACCTAGCTATTGTAGACTAACAAGAAGTAGTCTTCAAGATGCACTAATTTGTATCTTTGAATACACTAACTCTGCAACAATCTTGATTTCCTCAAATTTAGTCTTTTCCGAACAGATCGAAATATGTTGCCTTTAAAATCTATAAATTAAATTCTGTAAAAAAAAAAAGCGTTCAGGTGAACCAGACTGCGTCACACTTTATACTTTACCCTAGTGTCATCTGTTTGGCGTTGTGCTCATGGAAGTTCCATTTTTTTTCTTTCAGAAGGAAGAAGCCGGTCTGGATAGTAAATTCAGCGAATCCCTCCGTCAGGCCGGAAACGTCGTCGGAGGAGAGATCGAGATCTGCTATCGACTACGTCGCCGGCACGATTAAGTGTAGGATCCACGGGTTGAAAGGGGCACGGAAGAAGGGAACTAACCTGAATCGCGACGATGTCGTTGGCTGCGATGGCAAAGGCTCGATGAAGAGGCATCGCAGCGGCCATTGCGTGTGTCGACATCGACGACCGAAGCGTCGACGTCTTGGCAAGGTGGTTATCTTCATTAACAATTACAGTCCGCAACACTTTCGCCATTTTTCATCTAACCCAAATGCTCCATTAAGCTTCTCTGGCATCAAACTATAATTCTCAAACTTTTACATTGTTCTGGGGAGATTTTTGTTAAACTCTTAAATATCGACTGCTTAATGATTGTTGGTCTGTTTCGTTAAATAATATTTGGTATTTATTCATTAGTATAAGTATGTAATTATACGGTAACGAACGGAAATCTTGGGTCAAAGCGAGCACATTTTGATAGTAAAGAGGTCGAATATAACATTGTAAAATTTTACGTTTTGGAGACATTTAAATTGGTCTTTTCTCCTGACGATTAAGTTGAGGATTGTTTAATAAAAATTCAACTTTTGAAAACTTTTTAACTTCTCTTCTTCTAACGGTAAAGGGTTTGAAAAATGCTTACTCAGAATTATAGTTTGCAGATTTCGTTAATGTTTGTGGCAGAGTGTCCTTTAACACTAGAATCGTTCATTAAATTTCTATTTAGAATATCTAAGCATTAACAGTCGTTTGAACTATGAAAAGTCTACAGGCAATACGAAATGCACACGAACTATATGATTACTCACAAGAAACTGTTCTAAATAGAATTGACTATAAATTAACTCTACTCATCACTCTCTCCATCCATCATTCAACATTTAACACGTCCAGTACAATCATCCATCTTAAAAAAAAAGAAATCAGAATAATATTTAACACGATCCTCTTTTCTATCATTCCAGATATTAGAAAGAACATTGGCCGATAGATCTTCGAGGAGCGAAGCTGTAAGCGCGCCAGCGTCAACGAACAAGGGTTCGCCGTTCCCTTAACACACTAACATCCGGTTCGAGTGGTTAGAACGAGATGAGAAAACGCTCCCGTGGAGTCACACGAAACAATCGTACTGACAGTTTCTTGCCTCTCTCTCCTTTGCGAGCCTGAAGACACCTTGCGTCCCGTAGACTGAAACGAAACGATCACGTGTCGAGAGAGACGAACAACAGAGACGAGGCAACGGTATGAATGGCGGTCAAGACCAAGAGTAGCCGGAAGTGGTCGCAAGCAATTAATCAATAAGACGTCTAGTCCCATGAAACAGTGATAATTGGTCGTTATATTAACGGTTAGAGCAGACGAACATGCTTCGTTGTTCGATGGTCGTCATCCCTTCCGAATCCAATGGGACATGCGACACGCTGAATGAAGAAGAAGAAGACTTTAGAACGAATGAAAAATTTAGGGAGAGATTTTTTGTTTCATTTATACATTCGCGTAATTGCCCGAGGCGACGGGACATCGGTTGCCTGTTTCTAGAAGAAGAGGAGACTGGTCCTTAAATAATTGTTTTATTCTGTTTTTTTTTTTTTTTTAATATTATTATTATTGGACGAGTCGCGCACGAGCGAGTTGCGTCGAGTTTTTTGCGACAGGATCCGATCGGAGAATGAAATTCGAACGATCCGAGCCCGATAATAAAGTCGCGCGATCTCTTAGAGAAAGACTTAAAGACAAAAGTG